TCAGCCTAATATGAGGTTTTTCAGTTTCTTCTGCTAAATCAAGCCATAGACCACCCTAACAACTGCTAGGAATCATTAAGTTTTCAAATTTAGGCATGGTCTTTTAACTTGAGTTTATGCCAAAACCCAACATACAGCACTTAATGAAAAATACTAATGTAGTAAATAGTAACATAATGGGCAATTTTACAACACAACTCTAAAGAAGCATAATATTACAGCCTATTAACACAAAATCCTGAAACCTGCCCATGTTCCCCAGACCCACCTCAGGACCGCTGTTTACCCTGGATTTCTCTGGGACTTGTGGATCTGGGGCAAGGATTCTGCTACAAATACACGTCAGTCCGTACAGACAGCTTAAACAGAGAGGCCTGGGTTTCTTTTTCTTTTGCTTCCTTCTCCCCACTCACTGCCCCTGCCCCACAACAGAACACTAAAGCATCTGAGCGAAAAGCCCTGCAGTTCATCAAGATCAAGGCAGGCATCATGTTTCAAGTTGAGGTTCAAAACAGCTTGCTCTTTGCTGAGACTTCTTACTTCCTGAAATCAGATGGCGCCTTTCAGGACTTGAGCGTGCTGAGTCATGGCAAGGCACACACCCGCTCTTTCATGCAAGGCCACCGGGCTGAGACCCCATCTTCCTCCCTGGTATAAAGTGAACACAAGGACCCTGTGGAGTGCACCTTCAAAAGAAGTTCCTGTGAAGTGCCAGACTTACAAGGAGAAGAATGATTTTACCTTCTCTCTCCTTGAGGAAATTTGACAACTCAGAAGTAAATAAGAAAACCTGTGCCCCTTATCTTTACATGATATTCTTTACACGAAACCACCTTCAGCTGCCTGATTACTGCGTTGTTTATGTTAAGCAAGTGTTTACCCATCAAGCATATTCATAGGCCATGCATGACAAAGATACTATAAAATTCTAGCCATTCAGATTAGAGCCTAGAGCCAGAGAAGCTGAGAGATGGCTGCTGCCCACAGGCCTGTTCTTACCTGCAGGTAGGCTTTGGTGAATTAGTTACCAACCCATATACACTGGATTGTTTCACATGAAAATCTAAAATTGGACATGTTCTCAAAAACTCGAAAAATCTGGCAACACCGAACCAAAATTCCTATGTAGGAACAACAGGTGTGGCCCTTCAGGCAGACCTTCAGATGGAAAGTGCTGGGAACATGTGGTTGGTCGGCACCCACCGGGCCAATGGCCCTGCATCTTTCCTCAATAGTGCCTGTCCTTGTGAGCATGCGCCCAGGACCCCATCGAGTCCAGCCACTCTGACAGATGAGGAAAGCAGGGGCCAGAGAAGTTTAAATGTCTTGCCCAAGGTCATTCAATTAGGTAAAAGCAGAGCAGGAATCAGATTTGGGTCCTCTTCCCAAGGCACCCCCATTCCCCAGAGCTTCGTTCAGAAAGAAATTGGGCCACATTTGAAGCAGTGTCTCAGATGATATTAGCTCTGAAGTTATTTTAATTATAAATCATCACTGGAAACTAATGAAGGCATCAAAGCTGTGATATTCCTATAGACCAGAAGGGCTGGGGAAAAGTATAACTAGGAGATATAACATTTTCTGAGGGATTTTAAATATAAGTAATCTATATTTAAAATATCATGATTTTAGCGAGTAACAGAGCAGGGCAAAAAAAAAAAAAAAGAGCTGAATAAAAATCACATCCTAATTTAACTATACTGAATAAATTAGAAATGACACTTCTTGGATTTTTCTGTAAAAGTTTTTTTTTTTAATGCAAGAATTCTGCCCATCTATCGTTCATGTCATTAATTCATGGTAATACATATAATAATGAAAATAAATGAGTAATTATTGAGACCTTTCAAGATTCTTTGTGATGAGTGATATTATTTTCCTCATAAGGGAAATTTATGGGCCATCTAAAAAATTTTGTTTACAAGGGTAGAAATACTATAAATGTATATATAGTATAAAAGTATGCTGATGCTAAAGACCCTGATGTTCTTTTTTTTTCCTTACTGTATCAGTTCAAAATAGAAATGAGTTTTCCTACATTCATTTTTCTATATACCCCCGGCTTATCATTATAATTCCATCCTGTTTCCCGGGAAGACCTCATTCCACCTGCATTATTATTTCTACAAACCGGTCACCTTGGAGGGGTTTAAAAAGACACCAAGGGCACCTGGGTGGCTCAGTTGGTTAAGTGTCTGACCAGCTCAAGTCATGATCTCATGGCTTGTGAGTTTGAGCCCCGGGTTGGGCTCTGTGCTGACAGCTCAGAGCCTGGAGCCTGCTTCTGATTCTGTGTCCCCCCTCTCTCCCTCCCCTGCTCAGGCTCTGTCACTCTCTCTCTCTCTCTCTCAAAAATAAACATGAAAAAAAAAATTTTTTTAATAAAAAGAAACCAAAATATTTCTTTGGAAAACTGTGTAATCTCGAAAATGACTGCCCCGCACCCCACCTCCAAAGACAAAGTACCAGGCAGGTGATGATACAGGGATCACAGACGTGACAAGCGGATGGTGCCACATGTGTTACAGCGCCACAGCGCTTTCCGCACAGCCACCAAAATGACAGGCTTTCCTTCTTACCGCATAAGCAGCCATCTAAGCCTAGGTATGAGTAAGACAACCTAAGGCAGCCTGAGCACAATGCTGCTCAGTAATGCTTTAATGCCATTTGAAATCACGGGGCTAAAATTAAACTGACACTTGGCAGAAATTACCCTAACACTTTCCATCACAGCATTATGATGGGCAGAAAGTACGTGGCCCAGGCAGCGCTGAGAACAGAACCGTGCAGCCCCAGAGGGGCCAACATGCAAGGCCACACAGAGAAACTTGGAGTGAGAGCTAAAGTTGGAGACCCACAATCACAAAAATGTTGCAGTCTCTGGTCTCTTCCCAGAGACCCAGAAGGCGCTGCTCAAGTTCAGAGTCCAAACTTTTCTCTGCCTTCCTGTCTTCGTTTTTCAATCAGAGCAGGGAGGAGGAGCTCTGTGGCTGGGCAAAGAAAAGGCAAGCTCTATTTTGTCATCTGCCAGAGTGGGTTTTCTCCCTCTCCTCCCCACCAACCTCAGGATCAAGGCAAACTTCTTCCAAGCCAGGAGACAGCACTCCTCAGCTGGCGGGATACTTTCAAGGCAATAGGAAGGCACCCCTCTCCCCCGGGGGCCCAGATTACTGCCTCTGTTCTGGTAGCGTTTTGTTCTAACCTAAAGCATATGTCAGCTTTGTCACTACACAGCTCAGTCAAATGCATCTAAAGGGTTAAGCAAATTCCTTGAAACAAGACAAGGAAAGACTCCTGGAGCTGTGCAGGTGCAGAATTACAGCCTGCCACTGCTCATCAGGCCAGATTCCCCAGCCCCTGCATGGGCTTTCAGAGATGGCAGTGTTAGCTTTTCTTGTGCTACAGTTAAAAAAAAAAAAAAAAAAAAAAAAAAAAAAAAAAAAAAAAAAAAAAGGAATTTTCTGTTCTCTTAGCACAGGACTATGCACACAGTAGATGCTCTCAGAAAAAAAAAAAAAAAAAATGTTGGTCAACTCGGTTTTAAAAGATTTCAGCAGAGTTCTCTCCCACCCTGCAACTCCCAGCCTGACTTGAGTCTCCCTAGCCCGCTGAGGGCCAGATCATCTGACATAACAGTGAAAGGGCAGGGGCTTCTTGTGGGAGTCAGGCTAAAGCCCTGCGCTGCAATGAAGTCACCTTATTCAGTAGCAAATTCACACAGTTTAGAATTCCCAAAATAATGAATAAGAAAACTGGTAACCAAGCAAAATGAAAATGAGAGGAAAATTTATCTTCTTTTAGCCAACAGAGGGAAAGGCCAAGGCATGTAAGACATATACAGAATAGTTTGTTCTTCCTTTTTTATTTAGTCACAACACATCGGTACAACGGAGGTCAAACCCAGTTCAGTGGAGGTCGTTTAAATTACACCTGCTAAAAGGATAAACCTGTGAACTGATGCTTTTATGAACCAAATTAAACCAAAAGAAGGCAGCACACCTTTTTAAATACCTCAAGAACCACGTTGCCATGCACCAAAAAGGAAAACACAACATAAAGATTTCCAGTTAAAAGAAAACATAGCAGTTTCAGGAAGAATTAGGTTATGCATTTATAACAGGTTCCACTGGACTATTCGATTGGACCACTTGCACACCGTGATCATTTATCCATGTTAATGTTTGTGAATTTGAGATCCGTGAGATTAAAAATTCATTGCATTGCGTGGGGCTGGTAAATGCAGGCATATCCTATGCAGTCTCCTCCCCACCAACTCCAAATGGAGATCAACCCCCAAGTGGCTCTCTCCTAACTAAGCCAGAACTGCAGTCCTGGAAGGTGGTCATATGAACTCAGGGCCCCTGATGGGTTATACATTCACCTTACTGCTGCAGGAGGCAGAGAATGAACTCATCTTCTTTCTTGGATAAAGCTGATTGATCATCTGATTTGTCAACGCTTTGTTCAGAAATATAAAATTCAACATAGTTCCCCCCACAAAAGAGTATTACCTATACAACACCTTAATTGTCAAACTATTAACAAATAGCATCATGTTAACATTGAACTTAGTGGTTTGGAAAATTAAATCTAAAAACAGACTTCAACTACACAAGAAGAAAAACAGACCAAAATACTAAATGTTAAAATTCCCAAAACTCTGAGGCAAAAATGGAATCATTCTTCGACAGAGAGGTGTACAAAGTAATTAGGCACAGAACAAACCTATTACCAAGTGCTGGTTTATACTCACTATTTCAATTTAATGTTTGGAACAAAATTTAACAACTAGTTTTTAAAAACTGCTAATACATATGATAAAAAAACATTAAAAAAAAGGAAAAGTAAACCAACAAACCTTTAGTCTTTCAACAAAATTCCTCTGAAAGTGTACCTTTTTCCTTTTTACTTTTACTGACGACTTTAAGGTGATGTTGGCAACAGCCCAGCTCAGCTGGGATTGTGAGTGTTCCCCTCCCTCATTCTACAGCATCAGTTCTTTAAAAAGCTCCAATCTCTGTCCCCCAAGGTCTATAGGGCTTGCCAAGGTTTGCCGCCTGCGTGGGTGCCGAAGGGCTCAGTGCATTGGGAGACAGTAAGTGAAAGGAGCCAAAGGAGAAGGGGAAGGCCGACAGGGAAGCCACGGAGGAGAGCAGGGGCGGCGAGAGCTTGGAGGCGGAGGTGACCACAGGGAGCACCGGTCCGAGGCCGCCGCTAGGGGGCGCACGCAAAGCGGGCGCCTCCGGATGTGCCGAGGTCAACCTGCCCTGGCGGTGTGGTTCCGTGGGCGAGGCGGTGGTTCCAGTGTTCCCGTGGCCGTTCTGGGGCAGCAGCAGGGGGTGCGCGACGTGCGGGTGATGTCCGAAGGCGCTGCCCCAGGGAATGTGTCCAAGACCTGCGTGGGCGCCGCTGGCCGCTTCCCGCTGGGAGGCGTAGTTGTTAAGATGTGAGACCAGTCGAACTCGAAGCGGGTCAGAGGCATCTAGTCCTTCAATGATGCTCAGATAACGGGCAACTTCCGCCAGGCACTCCCGAAACCCCAAACTCCGATAGTCCATAGCCAGGGCGTGTGCGTCAAAATAGCCTGAGGAAAAGAACAAAAGAAAAACCTCAGGCTTTGCTGATTTCCCGCATTTCTTCAATACCAAAGGCAGCCCTTCCTAACAAATACCTACATCCTTAAAAACGGCATACACGGGCTCTTAACGAAGGTCCAAATATTTTGGAGTTGACCGAAGTCTTTGCATTAATCAACATGAGAAGTGTTTGCTAATGTAAGTTCAAAGCCCAATTAGAAACTGCTGAGCAGAAAGTGGAATTATACCCTACCAGCAGATGAAACTATGTTCATTCCTTTAATGTTTTCCCCCAACAACAACAAAAAATACATCAAGGACAGAGAAACCACAGAGCAGTGAAATTCATTAGACACACAGATGTAAGTTATCATCATGGAGCTTTTAGCCACTTGGTCCTGAGCAAAGCATTTTCCGGCTGGAGACAGACACACAGACCCTGGTCTCCCACCTTCTGTTAGGTTTTCTCTAACCACAACAGGTTTCTTTCCTCAAGAGTCATAGGAGCTTTTTTTTTTTTTTTTCAATCCTGTAGATAAAATTAAGACCATAACTTTTTTTTTTTTTT